TTAGATGGGTAAAAATTAACAAGTCCTTGATTCTGTGAGGAAGTAACTATATGATATTTGCACCTTGGAAACATCTATGGCCTGGTCCAAATCCTTTGTAGCCAATAGAAAGACCCCCATTGTCATTAAAAGGCTTTAGAGAGGTTCCCAGTGATAACTGAAACTGCAGGCAATGAAGCATATGGTTAGATGAGTGTAATATCTGTTGGCTGTTTGCTCCCTGTGCCACCTATAATGACTAACTAATTTTAACAAAGGTAACAAAATATTTGGTTTCTATTAAAAAAGGTGATACTTTTGAAGTGAAAATCTGAAAGGTGAATTCAGATAATATGTTATAAGGCATAAACAGCCACAGAGCCCGATGCACCTTAATTTTATTATTCTTAACAATTACTAGTATTATTTATTAGTATTTTTAAACATATGATGCAATCCGACTATCTCACAAATAAAATGTACAGATTACACAACTGCTGGTACAGAACTATGTAGAGCAGTCTGTCTTAATACTGATTTAATAGTTATCAACATTATTAGTAATAAATTAAGCAAGTGAATCAAATGACTATTGCAGCATGATGAACTATGAAAACCATACAGAATCATCAAAGAATGTAAAAGGATTTTACATAAATGGACTATTCTGCCGGCAGCTCAAAGTGCTGACAGAAAAACTGCCTGGGAGAAGGACACAGAGTTGTGTCAAGTTGGCCAAGGACTGCACAGCAGAGAGGCCTACAGAGGTGGCCCACAGAAGTAAGTTGCTGATCAGAGCTAAACCAGCAGGTGTTCATTATATGTCCCAAGATATTTTACACAAACCTCTGTGGCCTAACATGTCTTACACAATCTGGGATGGCACAAGATGTTTTGCACAAAGACCATGAATATTCAGGAGAGAGTTGTAAGATTTCCAACGTCCAAATTGTGGTAGGACAGTTCAGATTTTCCCCACAAGCAGGGTTCTTTCCGATTGGCCCACAGCAGCTTTCCCAAGAAACCAAGCCTTCAGAAACTGCATTAAACAGGCAATTTGGGTCAAAGCATCACTCTCTGAAGATCTAATATCTGGATCAGAGAGATAGCAAGTGCGATTGTCATCACCTGGCTACTGAGAGTGCCTCAAATCTGGTAACTACTGAAGTCGCTTCCCTTATACTCACCCTATTAACTCTTCCTTTAAAGTTCTATCTAGGGAGATGGTTGTGAGATGCAGAAAGACAAGAAGAAGACAGCTGTCATAACCCCTTGAGAAAATGAACTACCTGGATGAACTTTCTAGCTATCTCGAGAATCTATTTGGGGCCACTGTGATGCAGAGCTGGAGAACACACCTTCATGCCTGTTTTAATGGATAAGTACCAATTCCATGCATTTTGTTTACTCCTAAAAAAACTTGGTTATTTTAAAGCTACCTGGGTTAAAACCATCTGCAGGATAATTTCAGTTATCCAAATTCCTTTTATCCAGAAATCCTAATTATCCGAATGCACAGTGGGTCCATCCTGTAATGCTGTGTTAGTTAATCACCCTCTGATGAACTAACCTCAGGGCTGTGGGAGCTGTGATTTGGGAGGATTTCCAGATTTAGTGATGAGGACAAGGAAAAAAGGGAAGAATTATGGAGAAAGTGGGGAGGAGAGAATAGGTGGGGAAGGAGAAAAAAGCAAACAGTCAAGAGAGAAACAGACGAAGGGGTTAAGGTGAAGACTGAAAGGTGAAGACTGAAAGGAGAAGGGGTCAGGGAGAGAAAGGACAAAGGAGAGACATGACAGCAGTTAAGGGAAAGAGAACAGGGCAGGAGGGAGGGGAATGAAGTGATGCAGAGGATGGTGGAGGAGAGAACAAGGGAATGAAAGAAGGAGGATAGGAGGCATAGCCACAGGAAACAGCAGCCTCCTTGTTGCTTCTTGAGGACATCCTGACACTGAGAGCCTTGGGATCCACAAACACCAATACAAATAGTGAGGGGTCAGGCCAACTCACTCTCCTGGGGCTATCAGTGCTGGGAAACACTCAAGCAACACCAAGGAGGCTCCTGTCTCCCATGACTCCTCTCCATCTCCTTCTCTCAGTCCTTCCTTCCCCTTTTCTCTCCTCCACACTCCCCTCTGTCTCCCTTTGGGCTCTGTCCATACAGCATCTTGGGGACCACCATCATCACAGTATGTAGGGGATAAGCGCAGCCCAGATTGACCCCTTCCTCCTTTGAATCCTTGTTCCCTCTGGCTTCTAGCACTAAATTTTCTTGCACCTTTGTTTGCTCATTGATCCAAAGTTTTGAATGTTGCTCAGGCCAGTCAGATAAATGGGAGTGTGCTGTAATAGAACGTATGATGTTTACTTTATTTCACTAATAAACTGAATCTTGTCTAAAAATTAGGGTAGCTCAGTTGGGAAATATTTGTAAAATGAAATAAGGTAGCTGAGAGACATCCTGAGTGTTTCAGAGTTTAGCCTAGAAACCATACAGAGAAATTGACAGTTTCTTTCACAAAAGGAGGAAGCAGATTTGATTGGCTGGTTAGCTAAAGATTGTTCCCACTATTTGAATTTTAAGTTAACCTTGACTACTTAGTTCAAGTTGCCTAGGAAGATAGAATACTGGTAAAATTCTAGAGAAATTGGAATAGTTTAAATCAGCATCTGATTATTAGGGCTGTCAAGCAATTAAAAAAATTAATCACACTTAATGGCACAATGAATTGCGCTGTTTAACAATAATAGAATACCATTTTTTAAAATAGTTTAAATGTTTTCTATATTTTCAAATATATTGATTTCAATTACAATGCAAAATACAAAGTGTACAGTGCTCATTTTATATGTATTTTGATTACAAATATTTTCACTGTAAAAAACAAAAAGAAATATTATTTTTCAATTCACCTAATACAAGTACTGTAGTGCAATCTCTTTATCGTGAAAGTTGAACTTTTTTTAATCGTGATTAAGTTTTTGAGTTAATCACATGAGTTAACTGTGATTAGTCGACAGCCCTACTGATTATGGTTCGGGTTTAATGGGTGATAACTAATTGAATTGTTGTTCTTAGTACTTAAGTAACTTGTTTTTGTCTGATTTTTGAAATTTAACTTTAGAGCTGTTTGTTAGAACTGCCACAGGTGCTCCCTTAGTTCTACTGGGGAACATATTTGATTAGAAATGGATAAGAATCAGCACTAAAGGATTCATAGTTCCATGTTGGTACCAAGATCACCTGCCCAGTATAGTACAGAATTGGGGTAAAGTTTGTCTATGTAACACAAATGTGATAAGGCCTGTAAAGGAATTGATGTGATTTGTTATTACTTGGTCAATTGTAACGTCGCATCATGAATTCATTTTTATAAATTTTATCAACATGAATACACAACCACCTTCCTTTTGCTTTCTGTATTTTCTTAATTGCGTTCAGTTCTATTTTGGCTAATAAAATACAAAAATGTGTGATAATTCTGCATTCTGTACTTTGGCTAAGGAGAAAGCGATTACCACGAGAAACCTAATTTAAAACACTGGAAAATTAAAATTAGTTACAAAACACTTGTTTGTAAAATGTACTTTGCCTCACAATTATAGTTCTCTGAAATCCTCCATGTCTGTCTATGCAGCTGTATAGCTAACAATCATTATTATTAAGAGATTACATAACACATAAATGTCATTTGGATTAAAATAATATTTCTAAAGCTCAGTATTTCCCCATGACCTATAAATATAGGGACTCAGTTTCCCCTCTGTCTTTGTGTCTCTTCTCTCCAGTGACACTGAGTTCCTGGCAACCTTCAGCCATGAAGATCCTTTATCTGCTCTTTGCTGTCTTCTTTCTGGTGCACCAGGGTGCAACAGGTAAGATGTAAATGAAAACGAGGCATGATACAGAGAGATATCTGGGAGCACATACTAAGGTCGTCTAACCCTTTCTATTAGAAAAAAGTTTCTGACGTTTTCTTAGCTAGTTCTAGCGCCTCTTCAGTTTGCAGATGATACATGAAATTTGAAAGGAATTATCCTGAGATCAGGGTGGCGTCTTTCCTGCCCCCAGTAAAAATAATTGAGAGTTGACCAAATTATGACCAGTGCGGAGAAAAATATTTCCATCGTGTTTTCCTCAGATATTTTGGAGGCTTGCTGCTTTTACTGCTCCACAATCTACCAACACTGCATGCACTCTTCCTGAAACAGGCAATCACACAATTGAGTAACTGGATGGGTTACAGACAAATGAACTCATGCCAACCCTGTTCAATATACTTTTAGTCTAGGAGAAGGTGATTAGGGCTGGGAGCTAGAAGACTGTAACTTACAATGTAACTTCTGCTGGCTAGTGTTAGTAATTCTGTGCCTTTCACAACTTGTATTATAAAGTCAGGCCTCATGTGCCACTGAGAGGTTACACAGCTGGGAACAGAACCCCAAGGTCTAAAAAATGGCAGCCCTTCATCCCAGTGTCTGAGCCCCACTCTCTCTCAGAACCTACCACAGCTATGTGCTTAGCTTTGTTCCTAGAGATGATATCATCAGCGTGGGACAGTGTTTGCAGCTGTAACAATGTATCTGCTTCGGTTGCCCAGTGACCTCCAATTAAAAATGTTCTAACCTAACTATTCTACAAGCTTTGGCTGTGCACATTTGGTCTGCATTTTCAAAACAACAGGTCCTACAGAAATAACTGATGTGTTATTCCCGAGTGACTCTTCGGGGGGAAAAAATCTACAGTCTCACAGACAGTCGGACTTTCAAATGGGAAGTGACTTTTTCAAGCTCTTCTCTTTCAAAAAGTTGTAGTCATCCAACCCAGTGCTGAGCCAGTTCAACCCTATGTAGCCAAATGTCATTGATGATACTCCTGGCAAATCACTGTCAGAGCCAGAGGGAATCAAACCCGCAGCAGCCACTAAAGGAAGGTGGAGATGTGGGCAGGTCCTTGCTTTCCACTCGTTAAAGGCATGGGCAGCAAAGGATGCCCATGCTCAGGCTGTGGATTTGAGAACTATGCCTCTAAAAGCCAGCGACCCGTTTAATTAACTCACTCTGTTCCCTTCTTAGAGTCAGCCACTGAATTTGCACAGAACTACAAACATTTATGTAGTAATAAAGATGTGATAAACTTTTGCACTGGCAAATAATTGGACTGACTTGGACAGGTGTAAGGGAATGGGAAATGCCTGTCTTCCTGGAAATAAAGCCCTTATTTACCCTGCCCTGCAGAATGATGATGACTCTTTTTCTTTCTGCAGAATTCTCCCAGGCTCAGAATCTCAACAGGAGATGTGTACTCCAGGGGGGTACCTGCTACTATCTGAGATGTCCCCAATTTATTAGGACAGTCCTTGGAAGATGCTACAATCGTGGTGTTTGCTGTGGAAGGTAAGTTCAGAATTCCGCAAGGTAGTCATTGCAGTGTGAACAGAAATATTTATTCTACCCCTTCTTATGTCCAAGCTGTTTAATACTCTTGGAGGCTCAGCACATATGGCCCGGCCCAGAGGCAAAGGAGGCTTCAAGCCACATCTGTGCTGCCCACATTCTAGGCCACCTGAGGGCTGGACTGGCCCCAACATGTATGAGAACCACTCTTCTAGCTTCTCTTACATACAACAGCCTTACCCAGATTGCCTGTGGGACACTCCACAGTCTGGAGCAGCCCAGAGTCTCTGTAGTGCTCAGAGCTACAGGGATTGCCCCCTTAGATCTGACAGCCTCCACCAGCTTCCACAGTGCTGTAACAGGGACAGCAGTGACTTATTATGGCAGCCATGAGCTGCTCATGCTTTGAGAAAGTCTCCCACCTCCAAGTCCCTTTATGGTTCTTGTACAGTCTCCATATGCTGCTGAAGTTTTATGTCTGGGCAGGGGTTGGTGCCCAAACACCCCATTGTCTACATTTCTTTTATATTTTAGAATAGGGAAGTCAAGTAGAAAAAACACAATTTCAAGTTAGAAATAAGACACAGATTTTTAACAATGAGGGAACAAACGGCCAAAGGAAATAGTGTATTCTTCATCTCTTGGTGTCTTCACATCACGGCTGGATGCCTTTCTGGAAGATAATCAAATACACGTTACTGGGCTGAATAGAAGGGGTAACTGGAGGAAATTCTGTGGCATGAGGTCAGACTAGATGATCAAATGGTCCAAATTCTGGGAACAAAATGGCTGCTGTCTGCATCAACTGAATTTTTATAAGGCTTTAAAACTGTAAAGCTACAGCTTTATGACAAAGAAAAGCCTAAGAGTTTGGAGGTTACTGATACCTGAGAGTGAATGTAAGTTTGTGTGTGTGCAGGAAAGGTAAAAAAGTTAATAAGGTAAAGTATTTTCAAACTAGTTAACTCAAAACTGGCAGAACATTGTAATTGGACGCTTGTCTTAGTCCTCACTCAAGGGCTCTTCCAGACAAACCCAGTGTGAAAAAGTGTTCAAGTGGAAGCTAACACATTAATTAAAATTGAAGCCAAACAGACACAATGCAGCATTCACTGGGCTTCCCTATGGTATAAGTGGGTCCAAATGTTGCAAATACTAATGCACATCAGGAGCTGGATTAAGAGTATCATTGTTCATGGGTGTGAGATTTTACAGACTGGGGATGCTGTAGAACACAGAAGTGTGCTAGGCACTATCTTGCCCAACAGATTGGGGATTAAAGCAGAAACCTCTGGAGTAAAGCACAAGAGGGGCTCTCTAACTGGGCCTGTAACAGACTCCCATTCTCTGTAGATCAGGCACAGAGGTGACACGTAACACATGCTGACCAGTGGGTGAGACCTGCATGTTATTGGAAGCGCTCACTGGTCCATATAAGTATCTCTTGTAAAACTCTGGAACAGTATGTTGCAGTAGGGAAATGAATTCCCGTTGCCGGAGTTAACCAGGAACCCCTTCACTCACCCCACAGTGACTGGGGGATTCCACTTGTGCCTCTTGATTTGAAATCAAACTTCATATTATCCCTGTTCTACAGGAAAACATTAACAAAATCTGATTCTCTTTTTTTTCCTACAGGGGACTGTTGTTCTGATTGTCTAGGCAGGAACTCTGGGAATCTGTGAGACAGCCACTTGCTTCTAAAATCATTGGATCCTGCTTCAAGGGAACTTTGAAGTACTGTTTGTTTTGGCTCTAAAGAACCTTGTGAGCTGGAGAAATTACAGAAGGGAGCCCTTGTATCCTCCATATAAGATTTGTTACCTTCCTTTTAATAAAAGCAAGTTGGTTTGAGATAATCTTGCTGAAGTAAGTGTGTGTGTGTGTGTGAGAAGCAAAGGATCTGTTTCTATAATTTGTCTCCTTTAGAGATCCATTTAGTTTTTCTTTTTTTAAATTAAAAATAAAATGCCCTTAAAACATCCCTCTCACATGTTGTTTCAACACCTGGGTATTTGTAGACCATGGTCCACATATCTCTGAAGGTTTCAATGAGCTCCTGTGGGTAATCTTTATTTCTTATCATTGTTACAAATCCTTTGAGTTGGTGGTATCAGTGGGGCTGGATTCAGGTCACAGACTGACTGTACAGTGTGTCACGCCCACCAGGGAGTTCCATGTCACCTTAGACCCCCTCCTCCCCCCCCACTCCACACCTCTCTGCTCCAAAACCTCATTTTCTACATTGGGGAGAAAAGGGAAATGAGACCAAACTGCGTTCAGGTCTCATGCCTGATTCACTTCCCTGTTACACTGACTGCTGTAAACCAGGATTAACTCCACTAAAGCCATTATAGTTGCTCTAGCATAAAACTGATGTAATTGACATCAGAATCAAACACATGATTGTCAATAAAAAGGTGAGAACTAATTTAGAAAAGGTAAAAAATTCTGTTATTTCAGTTGGTCCCATGATACCCCTGTTAGCATATTTGTTAGCCTGAGATAGAATTTTGGGTTTGACCTTTTGATACTCTCATATCTTATACTAATAAGTGTGAAGAACAATGAACAAAGAAACTGTGTGTTGCATTTCCCACAACCAGATGGGGCTTTTAGTACAATGGGATGAGATAAGGGATAGAGCAGTTAAAGTATTACAGGGCATGGTTGAGTGTTAATATATGAGCATGCACTGGAAGTCTGCCTGGCTTTTCTCACAAGCCAAGGTCAAGCAACGAGTTAGCAGGGGAAAGGAGGGGAATTGGGTGTGGGGGGAGGATACAACACTAAAAGCCAAAGAAAAGCCTGGCCTTGGTCAGAGCACAACTACACTCCTTACCCCTCCTATGGGGTACAAAAACCACATACCAACGACCCCCGAAAACGGAACATGACCATAAGTTGTAAGGGGTGTGACTAGGGATGTGCACTGCATGTATATTGGGACCTGTTAAGAAGAAGATGGTGGGAATGGGGAAATGGAGACACGCAAGGCTCTGTGGCATCAGCGCTGGGAAGGGGGGCCACAGGGTAAACACTCTGCGGTATCAGAGCTGGGAATGGGACTCTGGGAAACAAGGCTGTGCGGTGTCAGAGTTATGGTATACATGCTTGCTGGAAAATAACCTCAATAAACATTGCATTGCCTGCACTTCAGACTTCTTGTCTTCTGCTTTCTGTCTGCGTGAGAAGAACCAGGGGAGAGGGGGTTGGTCCTGCTTTGAGCAGGGGGTTGGACTAGATGACCTACTGAGGTCTCTTCCAACCCTATGATTCTATAAAGGGAAAGTCCTCTAACAACCACAAAATTAATTTCTAATCCCATCATCAAGTTTCCCTGAAACTCACCTCTGCCATTGGACCATGGATCAGAAATTCCTGGTAGATTTTTTTTCCCCGCCCTTTAGATGTGGGGGATTTACATTTGAAAATTTACCACAGCTTTAATTTGTCAGATACTGTCATCATTCTCTAGTTGTCTTCGTTGTTCTGTCACTAAAATCCAGCAGGCTGCACTTGAAGGCTCCTACTTGAAGGATGATGCCCAAGTAGAAGGAGCATCTTTCTGATGCTGCTGTCGTGGAGTGGTTGAGAGTCAGGAGTGCCAGTGAAAGACACTTTGGAAAGGTTGCTAGATCATGGGTGATGAGCCCTTGACCTGTCCCCTCCCAAACCATGCAGAGCTTATCAACTCTGGCGTCCGTGTATGGGTGTCTTTAGACTGGGGCTTGAGGTGTAATTTCCAGCTCAGGTAGATGCACCTGCACAAGTTCTGCTTCAGCTAGTGCACAAAAAGTAGAAATGTAGCTGTGGCAGCACTAGCGGTGGAACTGGCTGGATAACTGGTGTATGATTCCTTCTGAAACCCTACACACATACTCAGGGTGGCTAGCCAAAGTTACATCTCTACCTCCAGTGTAGGTAGTCACTTATGGACATTGGCATTAGGAGGAGGTGGGGATCGGGTTTAGAGGATTTGGGCAGCTAGGAGTGGTTGAAGCTGTTCTTAGAGTGTGTAGAGGTCCGGACTCACCCCTGCAGCGCCTCTTGCTGGTCATCCAGGGAATTAGCTCACCAGCCTCTGGAGCGCCCTCTGCAGGCCGGTGATCCGACTCATTCTCTCCTTCTCAGCCCCCCATGTCCCTCCCAGGACCCCGGTGCCCTTTGCTCTGGGTGCTGCCCCCTGGCAGTTCCCACATCCTACATCTCCCCTCCCTGGGGAACCCCCACCCACTATCCCCACCTTGCCTCAGCACTAGGACACTACCAGTCACCAACTAGCCCCCACTCCCTGGGGCAGACTGCAGTATAGGCCACTCATCACTGGCAAGGAGGGTTTGGACCTGCTGCCTTGGCCTAGCCCTGGGCTGCCCTCTGCAACCCTCAGTACCCTTTGGCCTTCCGCTAGGCCGCAGCCTGGGGCTATCTGGGCTGGAGTTCCCCAGCCCCTCAGCCTTTCCCCAACCCTGCTCCACTACAGGTACCCTGTCTAGCTCCCTACAGCCAAGCCCTTCTCTCTCTGAAGGCAAAGAGAGACTCTGAGCTCCTGGCTCCCAGCCTTTTTATACAGGCCAGCTGTGGCCTGATTGGGGCGTCCCAGCTGTGGCTACTTCCCCAATCAGCCCAGTAGCTTTTCCCTTTGCCCCAGCCCTCTGCCAGGGCTGTTTTAAACCCCTCAGGCAGGAGCAGGGTAATCACCCCGCTACACGGTGTAAGGAGAGTTTGATAGCTCAGGAGGTGGGGTCTAACTCCAGAGGGTTCTCAGAGGCTGTGGGTCAAACTCAGTGGGTACATTATCTAGGAAGCTTTCCTGTGTGAGTTAATGTGGCCTGTCCCAAAGGTCTGCCAAAATACAGGTTGTTGTTGTCAAGGACTGAGTGTTACTATGGAGCACCAGGTAACTTTTGTTCAGACCATACCAGCTATTATTATAGTCCTGCTTAGAGGCCTCAATCTAGAGTAAAGCCCCATTGTGCTAGGCACTGTACATTTACCTAGTTAAAGACAGTCTCTGCTTCAAATGGCTTGTAATAACAAAGTCAAGACAGAGAACATATTATTAACCCTATTTTACAGTTGAGAAGCCAGCCCAGAGAGAAAGAGCCCAGAGGTATTTAGGCACCACGAGTGCCCAGACTTTTAAAAGTCCACTAGGCACCTGGCTGCATCCTTAGGTGTCTAAATACCTTTACAAATCTGGCTCAAAATGACTTACCCAAAGTCATACACAGTCTGTGGCACAGCTAGGAACTAACTTTCTCAGTCCCCTCTAGTGACTGATCCATAAGCCATCCTTCCTGGCTAAGGTTTTTTACATGGGAAAACAGAGTGATGCTGAAAGAACAAGGAGTACTTGAGGCACCTTAGAGACTAACAAATTTATTTGAGCATAAGCTTTCGTGGGCTAAAGCCCACTTCATCAGATGCATGCAGTGGAAAATACAGTATGAAGATATATATAGAGAGAGAACATGAAAAAATGGGTGTTGCCATATCAACTCTAATGAGACTAATTGATTAAGGTGGGCTATTATCAGCAGGAGAAAAAAAAAACTTTTGTAGTGATAATCAGGATGGCCCATTTCAAACAGTTGACAAGAAGGTGTGAGTAACAATAGGGGGGAAATTAGCATGGGGAAATAGTTTTTAGTTTGTGTAATGACTCATCCACTCCCAGTCTTTATACAAGCCTAATTTAATGGTGTCCAGTGTGCAAATTAATTCTAGTTCTGCAGTTTCTCGTTGGAGTCTGTTTTTGAAGTTTTTTTGTTGAACAATTGTGACTTTTAGGTCTGTAACTGAGTGGCCAGGGAGGTGGAAATGTTCTCCGACTGGTTTTTGAATGTTATAATTCTTGACGTCTGATTTGTGACCATTTATTCTTTTGCGAAGAGACTGTCCGGCTTGACCAATGTACATGGCAGAGGGGCATTGCTCCCCAGCATCTCTGGCCTTCCCTTAGCCCTGCTCCAGTCTTGGTACCCGCTCAGCTTCCAGGCAGCCAGGCCCTTCCCTCTCTACTGCTAGAGAGAGACTCTGTGTACTCCTGGCCCACTGCCCTCTTATAAGGGCCAGCTGGGCCCTGATTGGGGCGTGGCTGCATCTGTGGCTGGTTCCCCAATCAGCCAAGGCTTTCTTCACAGCTGCAGCCCTCTCCAGGGCTGCATTTAACCCTTGTTCCTCAGGACTGGGGCAGCCGCCCCACAACAGGGAGACTTGGATATTCCTTGAAGGAAGGTACTAACGGGTGCCAAATATTTTTAATTGAATGTAATATAACTAGTCATTAGCCTTGGGTTGGCTGGCCAATGGAAGTACATGGAGCTGACTCCAAAGGGGTTTCCAGGGGGCTGCATAGCCAGATATTTTTAGTCCCACTTGGTCCCTCCTCCCATCAGTGCCACACAGTTACTCACTGACTGCTTGTCCTCCACTAGTGGGTCTGCCTCCTGGCTCTCTACTCCTCTTCTGCATCCCAGGAGGGGGCTCTGCCCTAGAGCTGGCCAAAACTCAGTTTTTGGTTGAAAGAAATTTCAAATTTGGGTTCATTCCAAAAAACCAAATTTGGTTAAATTTCTTGACCATGTTTGACAGAGCGAGGATCCCAGCCAGCCCTGAGAGCTACTGTTCCTGCTGGGTCTGCCAGCGCTGCCAGGGTCTATGTTGCCCCCCACTGCCCCAAGACTCCCACTATGGAGCAGGGAGTTTAGCAGCAAAGAAATCCCCAGCTCCTACCAGAGCTCCCGCATTCCCCGTGTTGTGCAGCTGTGGACCCTGGAGCACCAGAAGCTTACCAAGC